AAATATCAAATGGACAATAAGCTTATCAAGTGAACTTTTACACAGATACAGGCTAGAGCTAGTTGAACAACATAGGTATTGGCAGACCCTGCTGTACCGCACTTTGCTTTACAGCATTTCGCTAATACAGCAGTTTTCAATTATATTCATTCTTCAGTTATTCAGACTTTTTACAATAAATATATTCACCACTCCTTGTAAGCTAAGGATGAAAATATTTTAAGTAGTGTGTGGACGGTGTATGCATTTTTTAGGACTAGCTCTATTGCTTACTTAATATACAATAGTGTTAACATATTACTAGGCTTTTATAAGCATCTGAAAGTGAGAAAAAGGCTATGTTTCACTTTGCAGCAGTAACCCAGAACCTAACCTGCTATATAAGCAGGGCCCACTTGTGCTCCAAACATACTGATGCTTAGGTTTGTGCAGCAAGCTGCAATTGTAGCAAGAGGTCGAAGGTGAGCATTCCCACACAATGCATTGAAATTTTGTACTGAATCTAAAAATAAACAAACAAAGAGCCTCCACAACACATTTACTGCTAGACGATCAGCCACACAACACTTAAAGTTTGGCTAATGCCAGGCAGCAGCAGGAGTACAACACATAATGCCGATCACTATTTCTGTGGCCAGTGGTAAGCAACCCTGGCTGGAACAATTCACAAATAACTTGTACATTGTGAACCATTTTACAGTTACCAGTGTCCACGACACACCAAAACATAACCATAAGTTTCTTCTCTTCTAGGTAGTAGGTTGGTAGACAGCAACCACCAAGGAGGTATTACCGTCCTGCCAAGTGAGTGTAAAATGAAAGCCTGTAATTGTTTTACATGATGGTAGGATTGCTGGTGTCCATTTTTCTGTCTCAAACATACAAGGTTTCAGGTACGTCTTGCTACTTCTACTTACACTTAGGTCACACTACACATACATGTACAAGCATATATATACACACCCCTCTGGGTTTTCTTCTATTTTCTTACTAGTTCTTGTTCTTGTTTATTTCCTCTTACCTCCATGGAGAAGTGGAACAGAATTCTTCCTCCGTAAGCCATGCGTGTTGTCAGAGGCGACTAAAATGCCGGGAGCAAGGGGCTAGTAACCCCTTCTCCTGTATATATTACTAAATGTAAAAAGAAAACTTTTGTTTTTCTTTTTGGGCCACCCTGCCTTGGTGGGATACGGCCGGTTTGTTGAAAAAAAAAAAAGTTTCTTCTCCTAAGTGTGAATTGTATGTGAATCAAAAACAAACATTGAGGGATAAATCCCTCAATGATACAAGAAAAACTTGATAAAGTTTTACCCTTGGTCAAACTTTACCTAAAAAGCTTGTACAGCAACGGTCTGTGTTATTTGCCAGAGTTTCTGGAGATTATCTTCCCTAAGGCATGGTCACAGACTCTTAAGTTTTATATAAAATATTAAAGGCTAAGAACTATGAAGAATCATGTGTCTTTATATACAAGAAATGTCTTTTGAACTATCCATTGTGTTGAATGAGCATTAAACTGCATAAAATATTCAAGAAACTTTGCTTTTAAAAAAAATATTTGTTTAATTAAAATATAAAATATATATATAATATATATAATAATATTTTAAAATTATATTTTAAAATATAATATATATATATATATATATATATATACATATATATACATACATGTGTAACACTGAGAATGCACACTCCATATCATAATATTTCATATAAAACCAATCTGTAATTATCAATGCAGTTCTTATTCACACTAATTCCCAATACCTATATTAATCTTTGAAAATTAATTGGAGAGGGCAAGGATGAAGGTTTACTATTATTATTATTATTATTATTATTATTATTATTATTATTATTATTATTACTAATACTACTTCTATCATTACTGCATTATCCTCTGCTTTTAAATGCTTGTCAACTAAATAGAAAACTATCTCATTATCACAATATTTATTAAGCCTTGATAAATGTCTAAGTTTGTGCATATGTATTGATATGTCTATAAATAAACAAATAATTTGTATGCAATACACACCTTCAAGTAGTACACTGGTTAAACAAACATGCACCACAATTGTTGTCCATGAAAGGTACACAATGACCTTTTCTGACATTTAAGTCATCCCTTGCCTGACATATTCTGATTTCATCTGCCCTCCCTTGTATGACCTATTCTGCCCTATCTTGCATGACCTATTGTCCTCTCTCACATGGTCCATTCTATTCTCAGCTGTCCTACCTCGCATGACCATTCTGGTCTGAGCTATACTCCCTCATATGGCCCATTCTGGTCCCAAGATGCCCTATCTTGTATGACTTATTCTGGTCTCATCTCTTCTTCCTCGTATGACCTATCTGGTCACCATCAGTAATCCTTCCTATATTCTGCTCTTCTCTCTCCACCCTTGCCTGACCTATTCCAGCCTTGTCATAGTGAAGAGCTCTGTTCCACAAGGCACAGTACTCGCCCCCATCTTATTCCTTATCCTCATATCAGACATAAACAGAGATATACACCACAGCACCGTATCATCCTTTGCGGATGATACTAGGATCTGCATGAGGCTGTCATCTGCTGAGGACGTGGTTAACCTCCAAGAAGATATAAACAAAGTTTTCCAGTGGGCAACGGTAAACAATATGATGTTCAATGAGGACAAATTCCAACTACTCCGTTATGGAAAACTGGAGGAGATAATAACTAGAACAGAGTATGCTACTGACTCCGGCCATACAATAGAGCGGAAAAAAAATGTAAGGGACCGGGGAGTAAAATGTTAGGATTCACTTTCAAGGATACAACAGTGCCACGTCGCACGTGAAAAAATGATAGGATGGATAATGAAACTTTAAAACGGAGATCCCAAAACCCATGATGATCCTTTTCAATCACTTGTTCTCTCTAGGCTGGAATACTGCTGTACTTAAAACATCTCCATACAAAGCGGTGAAATCGCAGATTAAGAGTGTCAGAGATCCTTTATGCACGTAAATTCTGTCAAGCACCTTAACTACGGGGAAACCCTTTGGGAAGCACTTGACTTGTACTTTTGGGAAACGGGGGAGGGAGAGATATATCATAACTACATTTGGGGAAAATCTTGGGGGAATGGCCCCAAATCGAAACCAAGAAATCACTCCCTACGAAAAAAAAAAAGGACTGGGCGGGCGTGAAAAAATGCCGCCAAAAAAAAGTGGGGCCACTGGTACCTAAGAGAAAACACCTAAATTCCCGGGCCCAAAACTGTTTTAACAGCCTCCCTCAAGCATTAGGGGAATTGCCAATAAACCCCCGGCTGCCTTCAAAAGAGAGCTGGACAGATACCTAAAGTCAGTTTCCGGATCAGCCGGGCTGTGGCTCGTACGTCGGGTGCTGCGGCCAGCGTAACAGCCTAGTTGACAGGCCCTGATCCATCGGGAGGCCTGGTCTGGCCCGGGCCGGGGGGCGTTTATCCCCGGAATAACCCCCAGGGTAACCCCTTTCCCGAAGACCTACTCTGGTTTTTGGGCTTGCCGTCACCTTACCAAACTATTTTTGGGCCTCCCTCCTCCATTTCCCCTAAACCCCTTGCTTTTATTGATCATCCCTTGCAAGACTTTTAACCCTTATCTATCCCATTCTTACATTTTAGATATCACAAATTTGCCCCATCAAGTTATGTAAACCTTCAATTAAGACATTGGAGTAAAAATCTATTCCCCCCAGTAAGGGGAAAAAAACAAACCCCCGCTAATGATCCCCCCAACTAGCATATCTAAATGCCCCCCAAATTTTTTCCCCAGAGTAACAATGATTCCCCGAGTTTGCATATCAAAGACCCTCAATGATTCCCCCCATATAAAAAAATGACCCTCAAATAGCAATACAATGACCCTCAATTTTCCCCCCCAAAAGTAAATAAATGTCCCCTTTAACTAGAATATCAATAACATCAATTTTTCCCTGAGTAACAAGTCCCATCAACTAGCAATAAATGGCCCTTAAGATACATACTCCCCCCCTCTTGTAGTTTACTGACAACTGAAAAGGACACAGTCTGATTCCCGGGGCCTGTGGTGGGTAAGTCTCTTTATTTGCTGTCTTAATTTAAACCCAGCAGTAATTAGGTACCTGGGTGTTTGTCGACTCTTGTTAGTCACATCCCGGGGGAGGGTGAGATAAATGGGCAAGTCCCCTTAATTGCGCCCCCGTTTGCCTATCTGGGGCAAATGAAGGGGCCAGAGCTCAATTCCCGGCAGGCCTAATGTGCTGGTAAGTTTATGAGTTGTAGGTGGCATCCCCAAAGGCAAGCAAGATGTTGGGCAAAATTTTCTTTTCACCCGTGCCCCTGTTTGCCTATCAATGAATGGGTACCCGAGTGTTAGTTGACTATTGCAGTGTCACAGCAAGGGTGGTGACCCTACAAAATTGTGTACAGGTAATCTACAGTTAAACCTGGAGAAGAGACTGGAAAGATACCACTGGAAATATACCACACTGCCTGGTAATAATGAGTTACACCGAATTAAAAGTTGTCTGGGATTAGTAACCTTAAAAATGTCTTCAACCCAAAACCAGTCCCTTCACTAATTCCATAAGTTTTTCTTTTAATGAGCTCCTGAATGAGGTTTCTGCTTGTCATTAGTGGTACTCTATGGTACATTGGTACTTTATTTTTAACACTGGCTGTCTCCCACCAAGGCAGGGTGACCCATAAAAGAAGAAATTTTTTTTATTCTTCTTTTTACATTTAGTAATTAATACAGGAGGGTTTACTAGCCCCTTGCTTCCAGCATTTAAGTCGCCTTGTACAACACGCATGGCTTATGGAGGGATTTTTCTCCACTTCCTTATGGAGTGGACAGTATAGTATATGTGGCCTACACATTATTATAGCATGACTAGAACAATACTATTATTATTAGTATTATTATTGAATACCATAATTTGGGAAGCACTAGATCCTTTGGGGTCATACAGATGACAAGACAAAATGAACAAGAACAATACTAACTGCTTCGTGATGCGGCTGGAGGTGCACTTGAACAGGAGGAGGATCCACTGTGAAGGTTATTGTTACTGTTGCTGGTGCTACTGTTGTTGCTGGTGCTGCTGCTGTTGTTGGAGGTCCTGTTATTGATGCTGCACACGTCAAATCTGCTGTTCATGGCACCTCAACATCTCTTGGTTCATAAGGGAGGCTTCCACTGCTGCTCCTGCAAGGCAAAGTAAGTTTTGTATACAATAACAGCCACAATAACACAGTACAGGATAACAGCACAAGATAATAACAATGTACTTCAGTAATAGGAACCAACCTACATGGAGACAAATTATAGGAAATAAAGTTGCTCTGATATTTCGACCTCAGATTGAAGTCCTTATCAGAAGACCTCAGACTACGTCAAAATGTACAAAACTTTATAGTATTTCTTGAATTTGTCAACATGTGGGTTTGGTGCCTATTACTGACAGCTGAAGAAAGATAATAGTTACTGTATGCAAGAAACATTTACAAAAGCAATACTCTATAACCCTTATACAGTAGAACCCCCATATTCATGGACTTGGTTTCTAGTTTCAGCTATTCCACGGCCTACTTGTGGCCCAAAAATAACCCTTAATTTTGCTTAATAATGGCCACAAAGCACAAAAAGTAGTGATGATGGCAGTTCTTCAAAGCCTAAGAAAAACTGTGAAGTGCTTCCCACCAGTGAAAGAGTGATAATTCTCAACTTAGTGTGTAATTTATCAATTAGACTTTGTCACAGGTACGAATGTAAATAAAAAAAAATTATATATAGGGTTTGCTACTATCCTCAGTTTCAGGTCTTGGAATGTATCTTCTGTGGAAACGGGAGGAATACTACATTCCTTTGATATACTTCTAATGAGTTCCAAGAGCTTTTCTACTCGAGCCCAGCCATGGACCAGGCTCATGTTTTACAAATACATACTGTACACTGGGACAGTGAAGATGTCATGTTTGAGGGCAGTGTAGTGTGAACATAATGCAGAGAATTCTGAGTATAAAAGTTAGAAGAGGGTGTGATAGTTACCAAAGATATAATTCAAATGATAAGGGATATCTGGAGGGTGTTTCAGGGGTCAACACCCTGCGGCCTGGTCTGTGACCAGGTGGTTTGGGCATTTAGAGGATGAAGCACTATTAGCATGACAAGAAGGTGCATAAATATGGAGTGAAAAGTGGGAAAACATCCAGAAGGAACACATGTGTGCATGTGCGTGTGTGTGTGTGTGTGTGTGTGTGTGTTGTGTGTGTGTGTGTGTGTGTGTGTGTGTGTGTGTGTGTGTGTGTGTGTTTGTTTTATGGCTTGACATGCTGTTGGGAGTGTGAGCTGATAACATTTAAAATTAAGGGATTCGGGGAAAACCCTGTTATTCAGACTTGGCTCCCGAAGGTGGGAAAACAGTGATTACTCTCTGAAGAGGGGGTGGGGACATTGCAGTTTGGATGGCTATGAGAACTGTGATGTCAGCACACTTCTGGCAAGACAGCGTTGAATGAATGGTGGTTTAATTTGTGTCTTTACTGAGTCACCTTACCTTGGTGGGAGATGGCCGCATTTTATGAAAACATAAAACAATAATAATGCAGAAATTTAAAAACCAAGGATGCCAACCCAATGATGATGTGTTGATGCCCTTTAAAGTAATGTGATTTTGAGTGGAATATTGCTTAACACCAACAGCCCCAGTAAAGAAAGCAAAACTGTAAATGTGAAGAATTTCCAGAGGGTTTCACTGCCAGTATAAAAGCCCTGAAACAAGAAACTTACTGGAAATTCCAGAAGCACCCCATACTGTACTCCCTAGAATGGAGGCGAAGAGACCCATTATAAATTACACTGGGAAATACGGTAGGGAATAATTTTAAATCTGCAATTTGACATTACTCCTTCGTTAAAAGAATTCATTGTGAAGAGCATACTACAGTATAATGGTAGTGGGGTTTGTGTCAAATCTTTGATAAAGTTTTAATGTCACCTTTGCACCATTTATAACATTTCTGGTATATTTTAAATGCTTATGCAGTAATGCACTGTATGTTGAAATAAACAGAAGAGAGGAAAAACAGCTCTATTACATTATTTAGGTATAAATACTGGTCAGAGAGCCGTTGTAAGTCTGAGGCGTCAGTAACGAGTACGTCGCTAAGTGAGGAGAGGCTGTGCAGTAAATTAGACACCACTCAATAAATATTCGGAAACTACTATTTTTTAAACATCCTTTCATACTGGTTTGGCAACAGAGTTGTAAGACAGTGGGAGAAACTCCATGTAGTGTCGTTTTGAGCGAGAACTTTTTGGGGAGCTTTAAATAAAGGTTGTACAGGTATGAATGGATGTAGTTGGGTGTGGGCTGGACTTGCATAACATGGGCCAATAGGCTTACTGTAGTGTTCCTTCATTCTTATGTTCTTATAAATAATGGAAATTCCTAATAAGACCCTAATCCCTGTCTTTTACAGGGAAACTTGCAAATTTCTTCCAGCAGCTCATGACTGATTAGGCTGTGATGCCCCTTTTGAAGTGCATGCAACTTGCACACACTGACCAGTCTTTCATCCAGAAGAAATGCTCTGCTACAGATATACTTTATCTCCTTCCCTCTTTTAAAGAACGTGTCTTAATAGCAGTGAAGACTCGGTCTGAGGAATTGTCATCATCCTTTCTTTCCCAAGGCACTCTATGAGTTTAGCGCTTATCCATGAATATGATTGGAAATAAATTCATCTTCCATCCCCTCCCCATATTCCATATTCACCCATTCCCGCTACACCCCACACCCACACATCACCTCCTCACCTCTCCAACAGTTCTCCATCCCCCCTGCTCCAATTTGTGGTGCCCATTATACCACAGGACGGGCAATCATCAACAGGTTCACTCTCTATCCTTCTCAATTACATGATCCATCAACAATCATTCATACATCCTGGACTTGCCTGGAATTTTTCACAAGATTTATTATTTTAATTATGTGTAAGTACTAAGCCATGGCTCTGCTATGACTTGACAGATGACTCCAGCTTCTCAACCATACAGTGTAAACTATACTGTATGTTATTATATACCATACTCACTATACAGTGGACCCCCGCATAACGATCACCTCCGAATGCGACCAATTATGTAAGTGTATTTATGTAAGTGCGTTTGTACGTGTATGTTTGGGGGTCTGAAATGGACTAATCTACTTCACAATATTCCTTAAGGGAACAAATTCGGTCAGTACTGGCACCTGAACATACTTCTGGAGTGAAAAAATATCATTAACCGGGGGTCCACTGTATATGGATATGTATGTAATAAACTACTGCTACTCCCAGGCACTGAAATAAGCTCAGTTAAAATGTGTACACATTATCATTTGTAAAACTTTAGAACAGTGACTTAAAACTGGTCTATGAAGCATCTTAGGCATAAAAATGTCAGGATACATACCCCCATAAGGTGTACATGTTTTATATGCAATATAATACATATTTTATAATATATATATATTTTATATTATATATATATATATATATATAAATATATATATATATTATTTTAATATATATATATATATATATATAATATATATACAGTGGACCCCGCATAACGATTACCTCCGAATGTGACCAATTATGAAAGTGTATTTATGCAAGTGGTTTGTACGTGTATGTTTGGGGGTCTGAAATGGACTAATCTACTTCACAATATTTCTTATGGGAACAAATTCGGTCAGTACTGGCACTGAACATATTCTGGAGTGAAAAAATATCGTTAACCGGGGTCCACTGTGTATATATATATATATATATATTTTTCAACAAGTCGGCCGTCTCCCCGAGGCAGGGTGACCCAAAAAAAGAAAGAAAATCCCCAAAAAGAAAATACTTTCATCATCATTCAACACTTTCCCACACTCGCACATTATCACTGTTTTTGCAGAGATGTCAGAATACAACAGTTTAGAAGCATACACATATAAAGATACACAACATATCCCTCCAAACTGCCAAAATCCCAAACCCCTCCTTTAAAGTGCAGCATTGTACTTCTCATTTCCAGGACTCAAGTCCGACTATATGAAAATAACCGGTTTCCCTGAATCCCTTCACTAATATTACTCTGCTCACACTGCAAAAAGATCGTCAGGTCCCCAAATATCATTTGTCTCCATTCACTCCCATCTAACACGCTCACGCATGCTTGCTGGAAGTCAAGCCCCTTGCCACAAACCTCCTTTACCCCCTCTCTCCAACCCTTTCGAGGGACGACCTACCCCGCCTTCCTTCCCTATAGATTTTATATGCTTTCATGTCATTCTACTTCGATCCATTCTCTCTAAATGACCAAACCACCTCAACAACCCTCTTCTGCCCTCTGACTAATACTTTTATTAACTTCCACCTTTTCCTAATTTCCACACTCCGAATTTTCTGCTATTTACATCACACATTGCCCTAAAACGGACATCTCCACTGCCCCCAAAACCGTCTCGCTCGCTGCTGCATTTACCCCCAAGCTTCACACCCATAAAAAAGTGTTGGTACTACTATACTTTCATACTTTCCCCTTCTTTGCCTCCATAGATAACGTTTTTTGATCCACATATACCTCAACGCACCACTCACCTTTTTTTCCCCTCATAAATTTTCTATGATTAACCTCATCCTTCATAATCCATCGCCGACACGTCAACTCCCAAGTATCTGAAAACATTCATTCTTCCATACTCCCCCCCAATTTGATATCCAATTTTTCTTTATCTAAATCATTTGACACCCTCATCACCTTATTCTTTTCTATTTTTCACTTTCAACTTTCTACTTTACACACATTCCCCAAACTCATCACTAACCTTTGCAATTTTTATTTAGAAAACTCCCATAAGCACAGTATCATCAGCAAAAAGTAACTGTGTCAATTTCCCCTTTGAATTTGATTCCCCAAAAAATTTTAAACCCACCCCTTCCCGAACACCTTAGCATTTACTTCTTTTACAACCCCCTTATTAAATATATTAAAAACCATGGTGACATTACACATCCTGTTAAGACCTACTTTTTCTGGGAAGTATTCTCCCTTCTTCTACACACCCTAGCCTGAGCCTCACTATCCTCATAACTCTTTACAGCATTAATAAACTTACACCTATTCCATATACTTGCAACATCTGCCACATTGCTCCTATATATATATAT